CTCTAGATCCTGTTTCTAACCTCGGGCAGTGAAGCACTTTAGATAGGGTCTCCTCATTGCCTTGGCCATTCTAGGAATTCCTCATTGGGTGCAGGCCCAAGTCAGTAAGGCTGCTGAATACACTGTCATCAGTTAAAGATACCCTGCCCTAAACTATTTCTTCTATATCCCATCTCCACCCTTTTGTGAGTGTACGGTCGCCACGCCACACCATCCTCTCCTCAGGGGGGTACTCACTCTCACAGAGGTGACGACCTGCACATTAGATGAAGTACAAGTTTCAGTTTATGGTCGCTTTGTGCCAAGGACAACACTAACTATGGTACTGTGTACTCTAGTCTTTCTTGGGTATTGTGAACTTGGCCAACTGTAAAACCCATTCAATGCAAATAAGCACACAAGCTCAAAGCTGCTACTTTTTTATTAGGGACAGACAAAAAACAAACTGAGTACACTGGTGCTCTTGGCTTAACCAGATCTTTTAACTCAAAATGTTGCAGTTTGGCTACTAATATAGGATACTGTCTGTAATCGGGAGTTCTCTCTGATCGTTCTTTTCTAGGCAAATAAACACGTTTTTGTGAATGTACCCCTCTTGGGATCAACAAAGCCTTATCTGACATTTCCAAACCCTAAAGCCAAAATTAGGCCCTTTCTAAGCTATACCGACCTTTGAAAAACAAGCGACATGGGCATATTACACCTATTCTTGCTTCTCTGCACTGGTTGGCTTTGAGTTTGTTTTTTGTTTTTTTGATATATATAGTTAAGATTTAAAAAAATAAATAATATTAAAAAAAATAGGCATTTGTTATTTTGGGAAATTTGCCTTTTTGATGAAAGTAAGGTGAAAAGATCAATACCATTCTCAAATGTGAGGCTACAGCCACAACAGTGAGAAACGGCTAGCCTGGCTCTACCCAGAGATTAAAAAAAAAATAAAAATAAACATGCTATAGCTTATTTTTTTAACAGAACAGAAAACTAAAGCAGTGAGTTCCTAAAGTCCGGCCCGGGCAAGAAATACTTCTAGCACATCCTTGGGCAGTAGTCTCCTGGTCATTCCACAAACTCACATCATTACAAGGAGTGACCTGACCTTTTCTGCACAGGCTCACCAGCTGTGAAATTCACTGTATCATGTTTGTTTTCCTTACAAGGTTTGTATAATTTTTGTGGCCTCTCTTGTGCATTGTACCTGCAACATGCTGGGCCTTTATGGGGCCTGCCTTCTTCATGAATGACTCCTCACTTTCAAATGTGAGGATCGGCTCGGTGGCCATGCTGGTGTCAGACTTATTGCGTGCTCCGTTGGTGGTGTTGCCATGATTCGTGAGATGGATGATATCTCCAAAGTGGGAAGTGTCTCCTTTAGAGGATAGACCATTTTCATGTCTCGTAGGCTGGACCCCATTGACCACTTGGACTGAGGGGCTGCTGCAGAGGGGAGACACAAAGCACAATATGGATATAGTTATGATAGGTCAGTGTGACTCATAGTGACCAAATGAATGAATCATTCCACCGCCGTCCAATTACAGGTTTCTTTTCAAATCTATCCCAAGAAGTGTGCCCAAATACAAAGAGTAAGCGTTTCAAGAAACCAAATCATTCTCAAAGTATTACAGTTGTTTACTGTGCGCCTGAATCGTGTGGCTTCCTGTGTTTTCCGTTGAGGTTTACAATGCAAATACCCTGCAAACTTGATTTGGTAGTCAACTCCTGGCTTACTTTTCTGGCATACAAGTTTTAAACTGTTCACGGTGGTCTTGCATCACCATGAGCACAAAGAAACTTTGAAATCGGTCAAAGAAATGGTTTTACCTTTCATTCACGTTGGTCTGTCCATTTTCTGTCTTGTTATTGGGCAGGTTGACCTCTGGCTTTGGCTGATATTCAGCAGATGCTAGAGGAAACAAAGTAAAACAGCCATTTATCCAGTGTAAACCACGCACATCAACATTAAACATCCAACTCCAGTTATAAGCATCCTTCCATTGTATTCCAACCCCCCCCCCCAAACTCCGATCTGAGAATGAGGACATGACTGTGGTTGAGACAGATCTCCACACCCTGACTAGAATGGAGGAAACGCCTGCCAGGCCTCCCACCACATCAGTGGCTGCCTAATGTCTTCCTGCATTGGGTAACTTTGCCACAAACAGCATATCTCCTCAGACCACATTGATCCCCTTCATCTTCCTCATCTATTGTACATGACATGGAAGCATAGACAAGGAAAGAGTGCAAGCTGTATACTTGCTTAATAACAGTTGGGTTATGAACAACATTTTTCCACAATTAGAAAATGTAGGAAGAGTAGATTTGAGTAAAGCTTTTGCAACAACACATGCATATTACTGAGTCAACAGTAAATGTCTTATAACTGCTGCAGGCTGTTGACATGAACCCACTCTTCCTCTCTTACTCCCTCAGTCCCACGGCTTGGACAGCAAGCAAGCACACATGGGCCCTATTGTACAGAGAAGACCTAAAACTGCAGCTGTACAGGATATGAGGCAGAGATTTAATCTAATAACCCTTAATACAAAATGCTGCAATGTGAAGCTGAATCACACGGCAAATGAGAACAAAAGCACAACAAATACCTGTGACTTTGTTTATTCTAACATATGGACGATGTAAAAGAAGCAGCAGGGAGATTGTGCAGTTATGTGTCATCAAATCTCAGCCTAAAGGTGGGATAAGTAAAATTAGTTCATCTACAATAACATGAGTCAGTCTAAAATTTACTATGTATGTGGATGGATTCATGTGGATTTTCAAATTGAAGGAGTTGAAATTGAAGAGTTAGAAATCCACTTTAAGGTGGATTCTGGTTACAAGGCATGCACTTTGTGTAAAATCCCTCCAGGGATAACATTGAAATGTTAATGGGAGATCAATTACAACAACTACCCTAATGATTCCTGCAGATTAAAGGCTTGTGGTGGGTAATGGTTTTCTTCCATCAATTGAGGATGTTTTGTAAAAGGCAGACTAGTTCAGACCAATGTTCTGCTTACCTTTGCTGCCCTCTGCCTCTTTGTCATTGACGTGTGTGAGAGGGGAGGACTTTGTCTCTTTCTGTGAAGATAGGAGATCATTTCAATCATCTTTACTGGAAAGTGTTGGCTTGTTGTTTTGGTTAACACTGAACAGCAAATGTACCTTGTCGCCTCCATCTGTCTTGCGTGTCCTCTTCATGATCTCGTCCAGACGCTGAGAAAGAAAGAAAGGAATAAGACCAAGGAAAATGCCAATAACAGAACCTAGTTAGTGTTTGTAGATTTTCAAATTCAGATTTTCATTATAAACATATCTGCCCTGATTGCTTAGTTAAGAAATAAACGTTTTATTTCTCATAACACCAATCATATGTGGAAGTTATTAATATAGCATCCACAACAAAATAGCATTATTTATCTTTGTTAAACATCGGGTTTGGTTTAGTGGGATTGATGGAGCCCACACACCTTGTCAGACTGCTTTGCTAGGTTCCATATTGTGCTGTTCATTGCTTCCCTTTGCAGTGAAAAATGTTTTCCTGTCTCTTGTGTCTAAGGCCATTATGCTTGAAGTGAATGCACCAAGTCAAACCGGAGCTCTACAGCCATAGCTTCCAGGTGGAAGGCTGTGTCAATATGACCAAGCAGCACTTGTGTACTTAGCTGGAACACCAGGCGTAGGATGGTCCAACAGTGAACATTAGAATCAAGGAGAGCGGATAAGCTTGTACTGTGCTAAAGTATAAACCACTCTGGATGGCTAATTTGTATGGGCAGAAGATGATGCAACCTTCATCTCTGGACACAGATAGCCTGAGACAGCACGACCATACTGCAGCTGCCACTCATAAAAGTGAAGCATTTAAAGATCCAAGATTATTCATGAACAGCTCACACACTCATAACACACTCATGGCTTTGGCATCTAGTTTGGCTGCAAACCTTCTGCCTCAAGAATAAAGGTTCTTGTTTGTCTCGTAAGTTGCTGTGTTTCCCCACAGGATAGTTTTAACCACCTGAGCTTGCTGAGCACAAACTCCTCTTTGTTGAGGCGATAACAAGAATGGGCCAGTCATTATTGGTAGAAGTCAGTCAGTAAATGTGTGTTGTACAGTATGACTAAGCAGCGAGCCTTTAGGGCAGAGGACATGCTGTTCTTGCGGGCTAATTCCAGCAAGGAGCCAGGCTGGGCTGGCTGAGCCAGGCTTGGCACGCCTAGATAAGAGCCTTTCTCACATGGACAGAAGATGAGGAGAGGAAAAGAAAGGCTTAGCTAGCATTCAGAGGCGTGAGCTTACTGTAGATGTGGGTGGTATACTTGAGTAGAACACACACACATCCACACAGATGATTGACAAGGGGAGGTCTCCATTATTACTGTTTATATATAGCTTCATGCTCACACACATTCTAAGCCCTATTAAATCATGGTATGCAGACAACCAATCCAGGATAAGCCAAAAACATCATTCATGTTGGTTTCACAGAATCAACTTTCAAGCCTGCTTTTGTCATGTCAAAAGGCAGACCACAGAGTGTACATACCCTCACTGAAGGAGTCGTGTCAATTTTATTTAAAGGAAGAAACCTCAGGAAGAGCAACAGATGAGGGATCCCTCTCCCAGGACAGACACACATGCAGTGGATGTTGTGTGTACAGAACATACAGACTAACATAATGAAATTACAGCATGGACAAATTATAAATCAGTTAAAACATTGTTTAAGAATTAATAAAGAAATGTTTTCAGTTGAGAGCAGACCTGGGACTTTTCAATTAATGGATTTTCAGAAAACCTTCTTTATAGTCCAGTAGCAAAGGACTGAGAATGAAATTATTTTAAAAAATATGCATTTCCATTTTGAAATGGGTGACTTTAAAACCTGGCTGAAAGAACAATGATTGGAGGACAGATGTATACCCTTTTCCTCTCCAGCCTCTCCTGCTCCTCCTTCTGGAAGTGTTTCTCCCTCTCCAGACGCTGCTTCTCTGCCTCCTCCCGGGCCTTAGCCTCAGCCTCTTCTTTCTGAAAACACACAGAGGCGAGAATCCAACCACAGTTTTAATGCTGGCAGAAGGGGGGGGGGGCGCGCAGCCAAAATAACATGCCTTGTACGTAACAAGGGTGTGGTTGCTCCCTGCAATTATTGTTTACAACCACAAAAGGGATATTTTCCTGTACCTTTGAGCCAAAAAGATCTATTTTCAACATTTACAGCTTCACGAGGACTATTCAAACTGAAATACAATACTTAACCCTTTGCATAATTATATTGGATCATGTTTAACCACAAGCCATTTCTGTGAAAGACCACAAGGGGGTGACAAAGCGTAAGCGCTGGATAACAGATAAGACTGTGCCAGAGCAGATCATAATACAGGTCTACAGAATAAACAAACTGTAATAATTAGCCACATTTCTTATTGGAAATTGGTTTCTGCTAATCAAGCATGATTCTCTTCTGCTTCTCCCCAGCAACATCCACAAACACAGGAAAAGTCAATATTGCTGGTAATGGTTATTTGACAAACTGAAAAGTAAAAAGGGCACATTCATAGTAGCTTCCGGCTCACCACTTTGGATTAATATTTGCTTTTGAGGACAACATCCCACTGACGTAGAAAATACTGGACTGTGCTTTTGAATGAGCCTGTTATCGAACAAGGTCAGCGTGAGGTGAGCAGCTGAGCTGAGACAGTAAACAAGTGACAATGAAAAACACCACAAACAGATTGTTTGCTGAAGATAGGAGAGCGTGTAAGTTTGCTGTGTGAATGAACTTTAATCGAAGGGCAGTAATAACTGTCACAGTGGTGCTTGATGGTTATTGGCACTGCCAAGTACTTGCAAGTTCCTTTGACCTTTATCTGACTAACCAGACCTGTCTACTGCATTAACACCCAACCTCACAAACAACTACCATTTTAGGTGCTTTCTCTGCATCTGGGCGTTGACACTCAGCATACCTGTTTTTGCAGGCGTAGGTTCTCCTCCTGCTCAGCTTTGGCTCTCTCCTGAGCTTCCTGCTCCTCCTGCAGGCGCTGGGCTTTGTCCCTCCTCCGCTGCTCCTCGGCCATGGCACGGGCCTCCTCCTCCCTGCGTTGCCTCTCCTCTGCCTCCCTCGCTATTCGCTCCTCTCTCAGGATCCTAAAGAGTTTGAGCATAAGGCTGAGCATAAGTATTTTCCACAAAATCATGTGCCAAACACTTAAAATGCGGTAAACAATCTAAAATGTAAATGACTCTACTGACTGGACATTTTCCTCTTTAAGTTTACACTATCTCTGCCGAGTTAACATTGAGGCACAAGCAAAAGGAAACCAAACTATTTAGGAAAATCTAAACAATGCCAACAAGATCAAATAAATTCCTACGCTGAAAATAGTAACTGTGGTTAGAATCAGCCAACAGGCTATCAAATTCTTAATGCTTACACACATCACGGCCAACAGTGCCAGTGATGTCTTATTCAGACATGCATGGGCCGTGATACTGCATGCAGCCTTCCTGTTAAGTTTTATTGATGTCTTTTTAATTTTTTGCTATGGGAAATAGCTAAATGTCCTCAGTAAGGTTTGTTTTACAGCATATAAAAAGCTACAGCAGAGTATTCTACACAAACCATTTCACAATGACATTACATAAATAATAATATACTGTACTTCCATTTTAGTTCAAATGTCATAAACTGTTTGACTGAGGGTCACATTGCAAATTTAAAAATAGTTCCTGTAATTCCTTTTATGACCTTCTGTACAATTGTTGAGACGTCTGACAGGGAAAAAGAAAGTAATGTGTAGATCAAAGACCAGCCCCCAAGTGGGAACACAACTTGGACACAGACATGTTTAAAATAATTTTTTTCTTTTCGCAATGTGAAAGATCTTTCATTGCTAGGTCAACACTGCGCTGACCCTCTCTGGTTGTGTTCTGAGGCATATTAAAACCCTCTGACCTCTCTTTCTCCTCCTGTTCACGGCGTTCCTGCTCATCCCTCTCCCTCTGCTCTCGGGCCTGTCGGCGTTTCTCTGCCAGGATGCGAGCTGCCTCCTCTGGGTTGTTTGTACCCGCCATGGGCTTGGCTGATGGAGATGGTGCAGGTGATACTGCAGGGACAGAAGGAGCTGAATTGGCTGGTTCAGGTGAGTGGGAGGCTGCAGTGGTCGTAACTGGCGTGCTTGATGTGTGGGGTGAGGCAGCGGCTGAGGAGACTACGATGGCAGGAAGCACAGGGGAACCTAAAACAACAAAAAAAAAAGTGTTACAGAAAAGACAATAACACACAGATCTTGTGCTGTGTAACTTAACTTTTATTGAAAACAACTTTTAATTTAGTGATTATTTATGCTTCTTTAAAAGTAATGACTTTAAAAGTGGTGCCCACTGATAATCATCATGATTAATAACAGGTTCAACTGCAGACTTTTCTCTTCACATGCAGTAAAACATTCTGTCCCCTGAAAGTGGAAATTATAAACAGCCATAGCTTCAGCCTGAGAACTTTGTAATTAGATAATTAAAGCTGATTAGTGCAGCCTCTTAGTGCTGTGTGTGGCTCACCAAATACATTCCCTTTGTTTCTGGCTAATTAAGCCTGACGGTAATCTTTGCTTTTTGCGTCTTGAAAGAAAAGAACGATTTTCCTGAGGCTTGTTCACTTTTTCCATTAGAACCATTGTTCTGGCCAGTCACGGAAAGACACCAAGCCAAACAGTGAAGAACTCTTTGGGTATATATAATAAAAAAAAAAAATTATAAGTAAATACCGAATGACTCAACCATGGAGGGAAGCTACCCATAATCTACATGTACTGTATTGTTGGACTGCGCAAATAGGTTGATCACTGCGGAGATGAGACATTACAACAAAATGCAGATTATTGTGTAATGTACCGTTAGACAAAAACAACAAATCTTTACTAAAGGTCCACTTAATAGCTTGTTCCTTTGGTGTGGGAGACCTGGGTTCGATTCCCACTGTGAGACATCTACCATTGTGTCCCTGAGCAACACACATAACCCCTAGTTGCTCCGGGGGGGGGGGGGGCTCTGACATGTATAGCAATTGTAAGTCGCTTTGGATAAAAGCATCAGCTAAATGAATAAATGTAATGTAATGCTAGTCAAAATTGTCTTGCTAGGGATAGAAAAGGCTTACAAAACTATGAACAGCATGTCTTGACTGATGCTCATCGAGCTTTTTAATCCCGTCTAGTCAGAAATAATCACCATCAGAACTGTTGTACTCACTCTTTCTTTCCTCTGGAGTGGCGGGCCTCCGAGGCTCCTTCACTCTTTCAAGGGGGGCGGGGGAGGAGGTGCGGTGGTCTATCCTGGCAGGGGTCCTGGCTCTTTTGGGCCGACTTTTAGGAGTTGACGGGCTTCCACGTGCTGATGGAGGCTTGGGTGAGGCAGCTGGGCTTGGAGAGGCAGTTCTGCCCTTAGGCGTGGCTGGGGATGATGGCCGTTGTCTTGATAAAGGACTGGGACTAGAGGAAAGGAAAATACAGGGGTGAAATATGAGACTGGTAGAAAATGAATGCATTTACACCACAGTGGACACATTATTCTTTTAGACCTGGGCTGCAATGTTTGTTTTAATATAACACACACGTCCTGAAGAAACCTGACTTCAGCAAATAGGTTCACAGCAAATAAAGCACTCAAACATTGCATCACCAGTATAATGCATTATCAGTCAGCATCTCAGCTATAAGCAATGCAACACTTGGAGGGGAAACATCCATTATGCTGAAGAAGACGTTTTTTTCCCCCTCTATGCCTTTGGCACTGACAGCTCTGGCAAGCTTGGTATAGCCTTTTTGTTGAGTCAAAAGAACTTTTTTCTCCTCATCCATCCCTTCTGTCATGGATGTCATTTATTTCAGTGGCCTGGGGATAAGAGAGGAAATGACCACTCATCCCGGGATCTTTCACTCAAAGTCTCAGATCAAACAGTGCGTGAAATAAGCAGTAATTACAATGCAGAGGTAAAGATGGTCTTTTTGTCTAACCCAGCTGTTGACCAGAAACAAGCTGTGTGTCAAAGGGATGTAAGGTTAACCTAGTTTACAAAATGGACTTAGTCTCCATGTCTGTATAAATATCAAAACAGCAGATTATCATATGTCAGATTATTCAAATTGTTTTTTATAGTATCTAAAATTCTTTTGTAGCTTTTAATTTCATACCTTACATTGTTCTTATAGTGTGCTTTTCCGTTGGAGCTTTCGCAAGGTTTAACGCTTGCCTTGCATATATTCACTGTGTTCAGTTGTTAATGTTCACCCGAGGCCCTTTGATTAAAGGTCACAACTAATGATTATTTTTGTGACTGATTAATCTGCCCATTTTATTTGCATCTGATCGCTATGTTCTGTATATAAAATGTGGAAAATGTATATGTATAAAATAAGTTCCTAGAATCCAAGATGGCATCTTGAAGTGTCCTTTTTTGTGTAACAAACAGTCCAAAATAGAAAGAGAAGATATTCAATTAACAAAACAGAGAAAAGCCAAAAGTCCTCAGATATGAGAAACTGTAACCAGAGAAGATTTGGAAATTTTACTTAATTAGTTCATAGAATTGCTTGATAAACTGATAAGTTGACTGACGGAAGCCTAACATCAGAAGTGGTAATTGATCAAAGGCTTTGTTAAAAGTGTAGACAGACAATTTATTATATTATTATATCACAATTAGAAGTCTGTTAGATGAAATCAGTAACCGGGTTGGTGATAGTTAAGTATGGAAAAGAGAACTGAACTGAACTGAATTAGTACTAAAAATTAAGAAAAATAAAAAGTAGAAATCAGCCATATGTTTCACCTTGGATCAGGTCTGTGTCTCATGCTGGGTAGAGACTGTCTCTTCTTAAGCACCTTCTCTTTAGTGAGGGCACTTTTTTCCTTCTCATTCTCC